CCTGGGGGGGGGGGGGGGGGGGGGGGGGGAGGCAGAGACCTGTCTGATTGATCTGTGCTCCAGGACACAGCAGGGGGCAGGGCCGATCTCAATCAGAGTGGGAAGGAAGGAAGGAGATGAGTTCCGTAGTTCCCCAGCGGGCGGCGGGCCTCACCCCTAGGGAGGGCCCTGGAATCTGCCTCTTCGACAGATTAATCGGCGCGTCTGCTCTGCAGCAGGATTGGGGAGCTGGGTTGACGTGGCTCCGTTCCCTTCACACTCCAGCAGCCGGAGTTAATTGGGCTCATTCATAATCAGTCTCAGGATTCCCCCAAACCCCGCGCCCCCAGGACATCTGACCCCCAGAGCTGGGTGACCCAGCCCAGGCCTGATGGCCAGGAAGATGGATGGCCTGGCCACTGGAGGGGACAGCGAGGGGGCGGCGGGAGGGAGCGTCCTTCTCCCCCAGGCAGCGCCTTGCCAGCCCATCCATCAGCCCTAATCACTGCTGAGAGAGCTCGTTCTCGCTAATTAAAATCTCTCCGGCTGCAGTCGAGGCCCGTTTCCTCTCATTTGTGTTCTTTGGAGACGAGGGATGGTTGTTAGGCTGGACTTGCACACCCTGGGGTCTCTGTCACCTGCCTGGGTCCCTGAGCCCTGTCACCTGTCCCCGGTGTCAACCTCAGGCAGCCTGAGCTTAGGCGATGAGGGAAGGGCAGGGGCTGGGTCACCATTGGGCAATTTCTCCCCGTGTGGTCCCTCCTGGCCAGCTGGGTCCATTGGCCCAGGGGACAGAGGCAGGACATGTGGGTGGGGTTGGGGAAGGGGTAGGCAGCTGGACCATGGACATACTATCGAGCATACAGCTAGGTGCCCACCCCAAGATGCGACATGCCTGGCAACCCTCTCTCTTCCTTTCGACTTCCCCGAAAGCCTTCCATGAGACCTAGTTCAAACCCCACCCCCTCTAGGAAGTCTTCCAGGATGACAGTCCCCACCCAGATCTGCACCAGTGGCTTCTTTCATGATTGGGGGTTCTTTGGTGCCATGCAGAATAGGGCAGGAGAGAGCTGCTGGCACAGGAGATGCCAGGGCCCACATCACAGGGCAGGTGCAGGGGAGCCTGGAGCGGAGGCCCAGTTCCCGGTCAGCACGTGCTCTCTTCTGCGCAGTCCGCAGCCCCTAACCCGCCCCCTGCCTGATGCCGGCTGGGCTCACCTTGGCCCCCTGTCTGCAGCCTCAATCCCTACAGCCACGATGAGGGCTGTCTCAGCAACAGCCAGGACCACGTCCCTCTGGCCGTGCTGCCCCTGTTGGCCATCTCCTCCCCACAGTACCAGGATGCGGTTGCCACCGTCATCGAGCAAGCCAACCAGGTCTACGCAGAGTTCCTCAAGTCCCCGGACGGCATCGGCTTCAGTGGGCAGGTAGGACAGCTGCGCCCACCTCCCTGCCTTGGCCCCACCTGGAAAGAGGCTTGAATCTGCCCCAAGGATCTAGACCAGGCTGTTCAGGAGCCATGGTGTCTGAGATCCAAGAAGGCTTTTAAGATCTTTGGGTTTGACACCATTTTACAGATAGGAAGAGTGAGGCCAACATCTGAGTTCTGACTGTGAGCCCATGCCTGAGTCCTGTCCTCCCCTGACCCTGGCCCCAGTCTGACCCCTCACCCCAGCCTGGTCCTGTCCTCAGCTGACCCTGGCCCCAGTCTGACCCCGCACCCCAGCCTGGTCCTGTCCTCCCCTGACCCTGGCCCCAGAATGAGCACCCCTCCCCCTATTGCAGCTCTCAGGCCTCCCTGGGACAGGCTCCTTGTTATCCAGGTGCTCCGGGTGGGTGTGGGGGTGAGGGGTCAGCAGTGGCCAGGCCTGTGGTCCCAGCTGTGCCTTCTGCAGGTGTGTCTCATCGGGGACTGTGTGGGGGGCCTCCTGGCCTTTGATGCCATCTGCTATAGTGCGGGGCCCTCGGGCGACAGCCCTGGCAGCAGCAGCCGGAAGGGGAGCGTCAGCAGCACCCAGGTGCGGGCCAGGGGGTGGGCATGGTGGAGGGGTCTGTCCTGGGGAGCAGGGGCCTCTCTGAGGGCAGGACTGTTAACCCTTGACACATGCACCACGAAATCCAGGTCACAGTAGCAAGAGATTACTACCACAGGGGAGGAAACGGAGGCCCAGGGGGGCTACTTTGGGGTCGGGTCCCCAAGTAGCTGCCCCGAGTCCCACTAACTCGCCAATCCCTTTGGGGGCAGGAGACAGCCCTGTGACTAAAATCCCACCACGACTGTATGGCGGCTTCCATGCCTCTTTTGGAAGATGCGCTGCCTCTCACGTCTAGGAGAAAGGGGTTCCTTGTGGCTGGGGAGGAGGCAGGGCCCCAGAGTCCCCAGTGACTGCAGTGCCCTCCTGCCCTCTCCTCGGTCCCACAGGACACCCCGGGGGTGGAGGAGGAGTGCAGTCTGGCCAGCAGCAAGCGGCTCAGCAAAAGCAGCATTGACATCTCCAGCGTGTTGGAGGATGAGGAGCCCAAGAGGCCGTTGCCACGGAAACAGAGCGATTCCTCCACCTATGACTGCGAGGCCATCACCCAGCATCATGCCTTCCTATCAAGGTAACCATTCCCTGCGTCCCATCTTCCTTCGGCAAAGCACCCGGAGCAGAGAGCACCTCGGCTTAGCGTCCTAGGGGTGGCTCAGGACCAGTCCTGGGGTGGCTTGGGGCCCGGAGTCAAGCCTGAGCCCAAGGCTGTTCCCCATGGGCCCTGGGCTGAGACCCTGGGCTCTGGACTCTGCCTCTGCTCCACCCCAGCTTTCGGGGGGAGGGGACAAGCAGCCGCACATCCCCGAGCCTCAGGCTCATCTTCTGCAACATGGCAAATGCGGCCCAGCCTACTTTCCTGGCGGTTTTAAGAATCTGGTGTGTGTTTTGTGAGCGACTCCAGGCGTGTGTTCTCACTGTTTCTCAGACGAGGCAGTAGAGGCCAAGTCAGTCAGGGAGGTTCCTGGGGCCACACAGCCAGGGACGAGAGCTGGGCTCGGCCCTGGTTCCCCAGCCCCCGGTACCCAGCACCCTTTCCTCGTCGGTGCCAGGGCCCCCATGGAGCCGCCCACCCTTTAACCTTCTAGAAGGGTCATGGTCATCGACACCGGCTAACTGAACTATCTGCATGTTGTTCAGGATACATACAAGTAGGTATTGAGCATAGACCCACATCGGAAGGAACACCTCTTCTCTTTCTCCTCAATTCTTTCCTTCGTCGCTCCCTCCTTCTTTCTTACCCGAGTGATAAGTAGCACGAGGCCAGCTCAGCATTTGGGAAAGAGACCGCCTCACCACCCAGAGGGAACCACGCTAATGCTTTGGTGTTATTTTCATTCGGTACATATATATTTTACATGATTTGCAATTAGTGTTACTTTAAACACACACACACACACACACACACACACACCTACCCTTATAGTGTGATCTTTCCCCGTATAATTAAAAATACTTGGTAGAGCCCTATCTGGTTTGTCTCAGTGGATAGAGTGTCGGCCTGTGGACTGAAGGGTCCTGGGTTCGATTCCGGTCAAGGGCACATGCCCAGATTGCGGGCTCGATCCCCATTGGGGGGCGTGCAGGAGGCAGCCGATCAGTGATTCTCTCTCATCATTGATGTTTCTATCTCTCTCTCCCTCTCCCTTTCTCTCTGAAATCAATAAAAATATATTTTTAAAAATAATAAAAATAAAAATACTTGGTAGATAGCCTTAACAATATTTTATTGAGTAAACGGACACATTTACTTAATCCCAGTCATTGGATGCTTTGGCTTTTTCCAGTTCTTCAAAATTATAAATAGCGCCCTGGTGACGACCTTCGTGCATCAACATTCATGTGCATATTAGGGCTATTTTGTTTGCATGCATTCCTGAAGGAGGAATTATTAGGTCAGAGGTGCTGCATAGTTAAATCTCTGGCTATTTAAAGCCCCTCTGACAGACGATTCTTTTAAAAAAAAAGCAGTTCTGTTTCAAGTCTGAGCTGCAAGGTAAAATCTCCACATTTCTGGTTCATCCTTGAAAAATCCTTTAAGAAAACCCCACATTTGGAGAGTGACAAGAAGTTGGAGGCTCTCGGTAGCTGGTCCGACGCAGCCAGCTTTTCCCTCTGGTGCAGGGACAGATGGCTGCTTCTTTGGCAATTAAGTAGTTGGCGGGTGTTTAGGGACCACGCTGTACATGGAAGACGTATTGTTAAACGCCAGTCATCGTCCTCATGGCGAGATGCTCACACCACCCGAGGCAGAGGCGTGTGGCGTGCAGGACCCTCGCTCACACCCTGTTCCAACTGTGATTCCTAAAAGTCTCTTTCTCTTCCAACTGGAGTATGTCAGTCGAATCTGCGTTCTATTAATCGATTCATCAATCACATAATCCCACGGGATTGTCTTAAACGCGAGGTCGCCAGCTGGAAGGTCAGGGAGGGCCCAGTTTTCCTGCCCTTCCCGGGCAGCCTGCTCTGGGCCTGTGGCTAAACATCAACTCGGACTCCTTGGGGGCACTGGGTGCCTGGGATGTGAGTGATTGGAATTCCGTGTCTGGCCGTTTTCTCTTTAAGCTCTGCTTCCTCTGCAGGCGGGCGGGGAGGGAAGCCGGAGCTGTGTGCATCTGTGTCTGCGGGTTGCCTGGAACATGAGTTACAACGAGAGCCCTATTCTGGCAGGACTGACACCGCCCAGCAGAAGAAATCTGCAGATAAAGAGCTAAATGAAATGGAAGCAAGCAAACTACTAGAGTTCAAAACAATGGTTATAAGGATGCTCAAGGAACTTAATGAGAGCTTCAAGAAACTTACTGAAAATATCAAAGACATGAAAAAGGACCAGTCAGAAATGAAGGATACACTAACTGAAATGAAGAATAATTTACAGGGAATCAATAATAGAGTAGAGGATGTCAAGAATCTAATTAGCTATTTGAAATATGAAGAAGCAAAAAAACATCCAATGAAGAGCAAGAAGAAAAGAAAATCCAAAAATATAAAGAGAGTGTAAGGAGTCTCTGGTACAACTTTAATTGTACCAACATTCACATCATGGGGGTGCAGGAAGGAGAAGAGAGGGAGCAAGAAATTGAAAATGTATTTGAAGAAATAATGACAGTAAACATCCCTTACCTAGTGAAAGAAATAGACTTACAAGTCCAGGAAGGGCAGAGTCCCAAATAAGAGACCCACACCAAGACACATCATAATTAAAATGCCACAGGTTAATGACATAGACAGAATCATAAGAGGAGCAAGAGAAAAACAGTTAATTACCTATGAGTGCCCATACTGCTGTCAACTGATTTCTCAACAGAAACTTTGCAGGCCAGAAGGGAGTGGCAAGAAATATTCAAAGTGATGAAAGCAAGGACCTACAACCAAGATTACTCTACCCAGCAAAGCTATCATTTAGATTTGACGGTTAGATAAAGAGCTTCCCAGACAAGAAAAAGCTAAAGGAATTCATGACCACCAAAACAGTATTACATGAAATGTTAAAGGGTTTTGAAGAAGAAGAAGAAGAAGTAGGAGGAAGAGGAGGAGGGGGAGGGGGAGGGGAGAGGAGGAAGAATGGGGGGGTGTCGTTTCGCAGATGGAGCAAAGGTGAGGCAGCCTCTGGTGGGTCTCACTGTCCTTGTCACATGCCCCTGGCTGACCTGCGGGCCTGTTGTTCAGTTGTCATGCTCTGTGGGAAGAGAAACCACCACTAGTTACCCTGCTGCCCCCACCCTCTCCTTCCCCAGTGCCCAGGTAGGCCCACTGCAGCCAGGCCTGCCTTGGTGCCTTTGCTCACGCAGTGCCCACAGCCTTGAATGCCGTCCTCATTCCTCTGAAATACACACCCAGGTGGTTTTCGCCGGCAGGTGGCTAAGCCATGATTCTGAGGATGCAAGAGGCTGGAGGCACCTTGCAGATGCACATACCAGAGCTTCTCAAACTTCTTTTGTCCCAGAGCTCACTGACGACCTACAGTACAGAACAGAGAAACAGGGAGGGGCTCTGCATGAAGTGGGGAGAGGAGGCGGGACCCCACGGCTGCCCTGATGTCACTAAGGAACCCTAAGGCTCCCTGGACCTGGTCAGTCCAGTCCCCTGACATAGAGGGACAGGGAGACGCACGGAGGAGAAGAAGGGCTCAGTGGAGACACCTGCTGGTCTGTGAGAGAAGTGTACTGCCGGCTCTGGCAAACCAAGAACTACCACCAGGCTAGGAGTTGGGTGGGGGCTGGAGGAAGGGGCAGCTGACCCTGAGGAAAAGAGCCTGGGTCGGCTGCATAGGTCAGGTAGCCACTAAGTGAGAGTGGAGAGCTGAAAGGGGGAAAAGGGCCTGCTGGGAGGAGGGCAGCTTGAGCCAAGGCCCAGAGAAAGCTAGCCTGCTGGGGGCTTTCACATGGCCACCGTGGTGCAGTCTGGGTGCCTACAGCAGTGCTCCCAGGTGGGACCGATGGGCAAGGCCTTGAATGTCAAACTGAACATGTGGCTTTGATGCTGGTGGCGGCAGGGAGCCATGCATTTCTTGAGCAGAGGAGCAGGCTACGCAAAGATGCGCTCAGGGAAGCCTTCCAGGGCCGAGTGAGCGGGGACCAGCAAGGGGCTCCCTGTGTTGCTCCCAGGACTCCAGGTGCGTCCGGCCTGCAGCCAGGTCTACAGCTTCTTCCACTGCGCAGACCCCTCCGCCTCACGGCTTGAGCCACTGCTGGAGCCCAAGTTCCACCTGGTGCCGCCCGTCAGCGTGCCCCGCTACCAGAGGTTCCCGCTGGGCGATGGACAGTCCCTCCTCCTTGGTAGGCTCCTGGGGGTGGGGAGGAGCGTATGCTGAGCCAGAGGCTGGGCCCCAGCCAGGCCCACTCCAGGGTCCCCGTCTCTGGTCCAGCCTCTCCAAGCTGTCAGCTGATGGAGTGACTAGACCCATCTGAGCAGGGGCTGTGTGCTCTGGGGGCACAGGACAGGCAAACGGCCGACTCGCCTGCTTTCCGAGCAGCCCACCTGTGCGAGCACCTGCTCTGTAGGAGCAGCTTGGGGCTCAGAGACCCGAGCTCTGCTCCCTGACAAGCTTGCTGGCTAGGCTCCTGGGTCCGGGGCCAGCATGATACTCGCGCTGTCAGACCTCATTGGCAGCCCCGGGTCCAGCTGAGTGCTGTTGCCCAGTGCCCAGCCTGCACTCGGAGGTGCAGGGCGGGAGGTATCTCATCCCAGCAGGCCTCACAAATAGGGGGCTTTGACCAAGGCTCTTGGACGGCTGGAGAAGAGCTGGGGGGTGGGTGTTGGGGGATCTTCTAGGTCGAGCAGAAGCAAGGGCAGGTGGGTTTGGGGGAGGCCAGTGAGGCCAAGGGGAGGCCTGTACTGGACAGTCAGGGGCTTGGAGATGTGAGCCTTGGCTCCACCCCCTTGAGCCTGTTCAGAGGTGTGGCCAGATTGTGGGGGGAGAGCTGTGTCTGTGGCTCATTCAGGATGTAAACCACCCCGCCCCACCTCCCGTTTTGACGAAAACTCAATTTCCAAAGTCCTGCTTTGTCAGGAGCTTCCACCGACAGAAGAGGCTCTGAAACCTCCCTCCCCGACCCTACAATGCGTCCCTCTTCGGTCAGGGCATGCCCCCGCCCCCAGAGCGCCCCCCAGCTCCAGGCTGCGGTGCCCATGCACTTCTGGGCTCAGCCACAGGCCCTTGTAGCTCAGGGGGGAGGTTTGATACAAGAGCACATGGTTTGGGTCACCCGTGACCTTAGCTGGGGTTTGAGGGTCCTCTCCCAGGGGCGCCCTCGGCAGCTCTGTTAGGGGAGGAGTGATGGTTGGGACCCTGACTTGTGCCCACAACTTAGAGGACATGAAACCCGACGATGTATTATGGGGAAGGCGTCCCAGCCAGGTTCCGGGGGGTGAGAGGTGCAGGTTGCCTGTCTGGGGTGAGAGAGCAGGGTCGGGGGTGGTCATCTCTGAGCGCCTGCCTCCCACCCGCGTGGGGCCGGCACAGCTTGGTGGCTCTGTTTGAGATGAAGTTCTCCCTCCAGCGGATGCCCTGCACACCCACAGCGCCCTCTTCCTGGAGGGCAGCTCCCAGGGAAGCCCGCCGATGGTGGACGCCCCCGCCTCGCCCCTTCAGGCCCCGCGGTCCCAGCGCCCGGGGCGGAGGATGAGCCAGGGCAGCTTGCACAGTGAGAGCTCTGAGTCCTCAGACAGCCTGGCACCCATCGGCGCCTCCTGCAGTGAGTGAGGGTCATCTGGGGGTCTCCCTGGGTTCAAGGGAGAGGGACCCACCTCTGGGCGGCTGCTGGTCCACCGCCAGAGCTGCTGAGGGCGGAGAGGAGGGGTAGCTGAAATCACACCGAACTCCGACCTCAGAGAGAACTTTGACCCTGACTGTGGCATGAGCCATGACCCCCCCTGGCACAAACAGCTCTGACCTCGGCCAGAGCTCTGATGCCAACATTCAGTTTCCCCACTGGGAATCCTGCTGACAGGCGGCCCGGGGGATGGGACCATGGACGCCTCCGTGGGTCCCCATTCCTGGGGACCACCCTGCGGCATGTGTCCTAGAGGAGAGGTGGGTGGGAAGTGGGGGAGGGAAATCCATGTCCCAGAGCTCATTGTGAGCGAGGTGCCGGCCTCGCACTTGCACCCCGAGTGGGACGTCCACCACTGCGCCTGTGCACGGGTCCCACACTGCCCCATGGGTCCAGTCTGCTCTGTCCTCACCTCCCTCTCGGCCTAACAGTCACGGCCAAGTGGTGGGGTGCCAAGCGCATCGACTACGCCCTGTACTGCCCTGAGGTCCTCACCGCCTTCCCCACTGTGGCGCTGCCCCACCTCTTCCATGCCAGCTACTGGGAGTCCACGGACGTGGTGGCCTTCATCCTGAGACAGGTACTCCACCCCTCAGGGCCCGCTGCAGGCTCCTGCCCTTCTGTGTCTGGAGAAGAGCTGGCCCTGGGGGCCGCGCAGCCACTGGGAAGTCCTTGCAGCACTCAGCCAGGTGGGAGGGCGACAGTCAGACAACGGGCTTCATAAGGAACCTGGTACTTTCTAGAAAGTTAGATAGAAACTATGTGGGAGAATGTACCCAAGTTTCAACTTGGAGGCCGGAGTAATAAAGACCTGCTCTCTGTGGGTCTCCGTGCCCTGGTCCGTAGGTGGCACAGGCCAGTGAGTGGAGAGAGCTGGGGGAGGAGGTGCAGAGGTAGGGGGCGGGCCCCGGTCACACACAGCCTAGATGGCCAAGGTCAGGAGTTTGATGCTATGCAGGGTCCAATCAGGAGCCATGGCAGAGTTTTGAACAAGGGAGAGATATCAACTGACTTGTGTCTTTAGAAGGAAGGCTGCTGTTTGTGGGGAGAAAGCATGAGGCAAACACAGGAGCACAACTTCATGAGGGCAGCTGGGGCTGAGGTGCTGGTGGTGGAGGCGCTGAGGGTTTGAGCTGGGGTGACGGGACCTGCTGATGTCTGAGCTGTAAGGGAGATGGGAGCCTGCGGGTCCTGTTCCACTTGAACATTTACAGGAGGGCCATTCCTTACGGTTGGGGAGGAGCAGGGCCGGGGGGAGGTGATGGTGGGGAAACGGAGTCTTGTATCTGGGCCTGGGAGGGTGAGATGCCTGTTAGATGTTGAGAGGGAAGGGGAGTAGAAAGTCCGGAGCTTGGGAAGGTGTCAGGCTTAGCGATAAAAATGTGGGTGATCAGAGCTCGGATGGCATTTAAAGCCGGTGACAGGGTGACAGGTACAATGCTCTGACTTTAACACCAATTCCAAAGTGTGGCATCTTCCCCGCACCAAGCAATTCTCCAACACCAGCCGGGTGCCTCACAATTCAACGCAGTTCTGACACTGCTTACCTGGAAATAGCTCAGATTCCACAGGGTAACGGTTCAGTCCCACAAGGCTGACCCTGCCCCCCTCAGACGCCAGTCGCAAGTCCAGGTGCCACCTGGGCCTCTGATGGACTGGTCAGAGGTTCCCATTTCCCTTCCTGGGTCTGATTACTGTAATTTGCTAGCGTGGCTCACAGAACTCAGACATTTTCCTTGCTAGATGAGCAGTTTATTATAAAAGGATATAACTCAGGGACAGGCAGATGGAAGAGATGCATAGGACAAGGTGTGGGGAAGTGGCAGGAGCTTCCCTGCCTCCCCTGGGATGCTGCTCTTCCCAAATCTCCACGTGCTCACCAAGCTGGAAGCTCTGCGAACCCTATTTTTGGAGGTTGTTATGAAGGCTTTACTACTAGGCTGGATTGATTAAATTGTTGGCCACTGGCCAACCTCCAGCCCCTCTCTCCTCTCTGGAGGTTAGGGGTTGGGACTGAAAATTTAAACCATCTATTCACAAGGTTGGTTTCCCTAGCAACCAGCCCCCCCCCCCCGCCCCCCGGCCAAGTCACCTCACTAACATAAAAGACACCTTTGTTGCTCTCATCACTTGGGAAATGACAAGGATTTTAGAAGCTCTGCGCCATAAATGGGGATGAAAAACAAATATATATATTTCTTATGATAAATCACAACACCACAGATACTGAGGGAGTTTCCATAGATAGAGAAGTTCAAGGCTGAGTCCTGCAGCTCCAAGAGAGAGAGGAGGAGGAATCACTGAAGAGCAGGAGAAGATGGATGAGAGAGGACCTTTGAGTGGGGCAGAATGGAAGTCACGGGCGGGGCTTTGTCAAGAATGGCTTCAGTGGAGCAATGGGGACAGAGCCTGATTGGAGTGGGCAGAGGGAGGAGGCAGGGAGGGAGAGGACACAGCACAGGGTAAGGGAGAGCAGAAATGTGATGATCATTGGAGAGACACCAGGGGTCCTAGAGAGAGTGTTTTTTCTTTCTTTAAGGTGAGCGCGATGATAGCATATTTGTATGCAAAGGAGAATGGTTCAGTGGAGAGGGACTGATCAGTCCCTTAGGACTGAGAGGGAATGCTGCAGGTGCAATGGCCTTGAGTGGCAGGAGGGGCTGGGATCAGGGCTTCAGTGACCTTAGATGAGGGTCCCCTACCTAACAGGAGGGAAGACAGAGAATGGGTACAGACACAGATAGCTGTGAAGTCTGGGTGTGGGGGATAGAAGCTGCTCCCAGGCCAGAGAGCATTTGTGGGCCTGTGCTCTGGCCCCAGCAGTCAGGACAGGAGGGCAGGGACATGGGTCCTGGGGTCTCCAGCCTCCTGAGGGTTCCAAGCTGGGAGGTGGGGAGGCTTGTGGGTGGGCCTTCTGGCCGCAAGCTGATGAGCCCTGACACCCTGGGAGGGAGGAGGAGCGGTGGAGATGGCCTGACCTGGAGCCCTGCTTGGCGTCTATCAGGTGATGCACTATGAGAGTGTGACCATCAAGGAGAGCGATGGCTTGGATCCTGCCACCCTGAGCCCCACTAACCCCCGAGAGAAGTGGCTTCGTAAGAGGACCCAGGTCAAGCTGCGGGTATGTGCTGGTGGGAGTCACGCACTGGTTGGGAGGTGACCTCAGAGAAGTGACTCACCGAGTATGGTCTGGAGAGAGATTTGCCATGACAGAGGGAGGCAAAGTGTAGGAAGGAGATAGAAAGGAGAATTGCAGGGCAGGACATGCACGGTTTCCATGAGGAGTCATCTTTAAAGGGTATTGAAATATAAATAGGAGTTTGCTATACACATTGATTTATTCACTCAGTAAACAATCAGTGCCCACTGTGTCCCTGGTCCTCTTCTAGGGAGTGAGTGGGGAATAGGGGTTTACAGACACAGCCACTGCTATGGGGGACACTTCCAGTCTGGTGGGAAGATCCAGACAGAGACCCCACAAGGAGTCCTAAAAGGTAGAAGGTGATCAGTGTTCCATGAATTGACTCTTCTGTTTTGACATATTTATTGAGCTATAGCTCAGGCATTATTCACCCACTTAACATTCAATAGGTTTAGTGTGTTCACAGATGTATGCAACCTGACATTTCATTATTTCAAAAAGAAGCACCCTTTCGCCATCATCCCCCAGCCCTAAGCAATCTGATCTACTTTCTGTCTCTACAGATTTGCCTATTCTGGACATTTCACATAAACAGAATAATACAATATGTTGTCTTTTGTGTCTGGTTTCTCTCACCTGGCATCGTGTTTTCAAGGTTCACCCATGTGATCGCATGTATCAGTACTTCATTCCTTTTTATGGCTGAATAATATTCCATTGTATGGATGTACCGCATTTTTGTTTACCCTTGAATCAGTTTTTACCCTTTGTCCACTATGAATAATGTTGCTCTAACTATTCGTGTGCAGGCTTTTATGTGAACAGATATTTTCATTGCTCCTGGGCATATACCTAGGAGTGGAATTGCTGGATCAAAGGGTAACTCTAGTGTAATAATTCGAGGAGCTGCAAAACTTGTCTAAAGCAGCACCATCACTTTCCATACCCCCCAGCCGTGTACGAGGGTTCTGAGTCCTCCACATCCTCACCAACACGTGTTATTATCTGTCTCTTGGATTCCAGTCATCCTAGTGGGTGTGAAATGGTATCTCGTAGTTTGATTTGCATTTCCTTGATGACTAACTAGCAAGGCCGAGCATCTTTCCATGTGTTTGTTTCCATGAACACTCTTCCCCCTCCCGTGTTCCTGTGAGGGGGCCTGGATCCCGCCCTTGATGGGGTGTCCCCAGGGCAGGGTTAGTGACTGGTTCCTTTTTGTGTCCACCAAGCCCAGCCCAGGGACCTATGCAGACGAGGTGGCTGCAAATGTTTGTTGAACTGAATTAAAATTCCCTGGGGACTGAGAGGAGGGAGAGGCCTTTTGGGGGCGTCCAAGCAGTGTTTCTGGGAGGGGACAACATTGAGTCAGGTCATAGTGGATGTGCTGGAATAGGGGGGCAGGAGGCCAGCGATGGCATGTAGGGTGAGGGGCCCAGTGTGAGCCAAGGCCTAGAGGCCACTGCAGAGCCCAGCCTGAAAGGACCAGAGGGGCTTGGAAGGGGAGCAGGAAAGAGGGCTGGAAGGCTGCCCGGGCTTTAATGCTGAGCTCATGGTTTGGACTTCATCCGGGGGTTCCTGGGGTTAACAGATTGGTGCTTTATAAAGCTGGTGGACCTGCCAGGGGTCTGTTTTTGGATATGGAGCTTCATTAAGAAGCCATTAGCAGAGCCCAGGCGAGAGAGAACACGGTGTGGGGTAGAGGTGCCATGTGGGCAGTTCTGTAGAGGAAGGGCCACCAGATTGAGTGGCTGCGGTGTTGAAGCCAGGATGGGAGTGGGGGTGCTGGCCAGGGTGGCCTCTGAGCTGCAGAATGAACTGACACTGGAAGGGAAGAAGGGTGGGATGTTGGGATGGCTGCAGATAGAATGATGCGATGTCCGGGATGGCTCCGGACCCTCTGGGGTGGGGTGGGGTGGGGACTCAGCAAGGGAAGGGCACCAGAGTGGCCGCGAGTGGCTCGGCGGAGGGGCTGGTGTCAGGCACATGATCCTCTCTGCTCTTATACATCTTCACTAAGAAGAGACAGACGGTGAATGGCTGTGGGGTGTGAGCAGAGAGGTGGAAGGAAGAAGCGAAGTGAGTGGACTGGCAGTTTCCAGCCTAGGAAGCTAGGAGGGTGCCAGGCTGTGAGGACTGGCGGTTCCTCGGGGCCGTGGGGACAATAGAGAGCAGAGGATGCTCATCACCGGGGACCCCAGCGCTCGATGCGGACAGCGTTAGGGTCTTAGGGTCTGTTTTTCTCGTGTGAACGCACCTTGGGAGCTCTAATGGGGGCTCATAGGAAGGCATTAGCAGGTCCATGTCCCTCCAGCCCCTTATGCAAAAGCTGAGCTGGTTTCTGTCCTTGCAGAACGTCACTGCCAACCACCGGGCCAACGACGTGATTGCCGCCGAAGACGGCCCCCAGGTCCTGGTGGGACGGTTCATGTACGGGCCCCTGGACATGGTGGCTCTGACGGGAGAGAAGGTACAGAGGCTGGGCATCCCCTCCTTGGCTGCCCACACGGGCACCAGGTGCCTCGTGGTACCACATGGCATGTGGGCTGAGGGCTTTGGGAGGCTGAGCTGGGAGACACCCTGCATGGGGAGGTCGGGGGAGGGAGGGCAAGTCAGGAAGCAGGGGTGAACTTGGTGCATCTGAGGGGACAGTCATGGCTGTAGGTAGTGGGAGAGGGAGGGGGTAGGAACCAGGAAACATCCGGCAGGATCCCAAGCCCCGGAGTCCTGTTTTGGCAGAGAGCTCCCTGGCCGAGCCCCCCAGCCAAGCCTGCAGCCCCCCAGTCTCAGTGCATTCCCTGGCCCCCTCGCTGCCCGCAGGTGGACATCCTGGTGATGGCGGAGCCGTCCTCAGGCCGCTGGGTGCACCTGGACACGGAGATCACCAACAGCAGCGGCCGGATCACCTACAGCGTGCCGAGGCCCCGGCGCCTGGGGGTGGGCGTGTACCCTGTGAAGATGGTGGTCAGGTGAGACCCAGGACCACTGCCCTGGCCCTTCCAGCCGAGCCTCCCTGGAAGATGGGGCCCTCGGGTGCTCTGTTTTGGGCCTCATCCCTGCCTGAGGGGAGAGAGAAAATGGCCGAGGTCATCCTCAGATTCCCTGGCCCCAGACTGAGCTCTGACCAGTGGCACGCTGACCTCTGGCCGCCGGCTTAACCCCTGTCCCGAGCACATGGCTGACCACCAGCGGTGCTTTGCAGGGGCGACCAGACCTGTGCGATGAGCTACCTCACGGTGCTGCCCCGTGGCATGGAGTGCGTGGTATTCAGCATCGACGGGTCCTTTGCCGCCAGCGTGTCCATCATGGGAAGTGACCCCAAGGTCCGGCCGGGGGCAGTGGACGTTGTCCGGTGAGTGCTACTTCCCTGCAAGGGACATGTCCCCCGGGGGCAGGAGCCAGCAAACCTGGGGGAGAGAGATAAGCTTTTTCTGGTTTCCTCCAGGATTCCCACTGGCCTCAGGGCCAGGAACCAAAGCCTTAGGCTTCACCTCCGGTGTTAATTTACCTGCGTCCCTCAGATACTTCCTGCCGTGTTCTAGACCCCAGATCCCCCTGCCCACCCTGCCCTCCTTCCTCCGCTTACTCTAACTCTATCTGAACATTCTCTGCAGGGAATCGGGCCTGGTCTCTCACATTCTGACCCGAATCAGGATAAATTCGTGTGTTCTGATGATCTCCTGCTGTGTAACAAATGGCTCCAAACTTAGCTGCTTAAAATAATAATTATTATTCTGTCTCATGGTTCTTGGGACTGTCGGGTTCTTTTGCAAGGTTCTCATGTGGGGTGTCTCTAGCAATTTCAGTCAGAAGGTGGTCTGGGCTGGGGGCGTCTGAAGGCTCCCCTGGGCCGGATGTTCAGGAGGGCTGGCTCCTGACTGCATCTGCTGCTCCTTGTCTGCGGGCTGTGTTTCTCCCCGTGGCTGCTGCCCTGGAGGCCTCAGGCTATTCAGACATTGTACAGGGTGGCTGGCTCCCCCTGGGTCCCAGATCCAGGTGGAAGCTGCAAGCCTTCTTACGGCCCAGCCTTGGGAGGCACAGAGCCCTTCCCATTGCATTCTGTTGGTTATCAGCGAGTCTGGTCACTCCAAGTGACCAGAACCCCAAGAGTGGAACAGGTCCTGGGTCCTGGGAGTCCTTGGTGTTGGGATAGTGACTGTCCGGCCTCACCCCAGTAGCAGTGACCGCTTTGGGGAGAGAATACAATCCTGGCTCCGGGGCTCCTAGGAGACTGCTGACCTCATGATGCCCCGTGGGAACAGGTCATGGAGAGGCTCATCACCCCAGTAGCAGTGACCGCTTTGGGGAGAGAATACTATCCTGGCTCCTAGGAGACTGCTGACCTCATGATGCCCCATGGGAACAGGTCAAGGACAGGCTCAATGGCATCTCAGGGGGCAGCCTCCCCCGTACAAGGCTGTGCCACTTATTCCCTTGAACATCTTCTCCGAAGCCCTCCCCAGTCAGTATCCCGCAGCTGGGGAAGGGAGGCTGTGGTTGGTCCTTCCTCTCTGGGATCCTTCTGGTGCTCGTCCCTCTTTCCCATGGGCTCCTGGGGCCACTCGGTGCTCCCCAAACCTTGCTGCCCATCAGAAGCTGCTTTTTGACATCACAGATCACTGGGTCCCACGTCAGTCTAACCAGACTCTCTGGGGGTGACACCGGGGCCCGTGCATTGTTACAAAACCTCCCCAATCTCTTCGGTCACCTGCCAGGTCTGGAGACCCCCCATCTGTAGTGGCCAGTGGGTGGCTAGTGCCCCAAAAGCTTGCAAACAGGTCTGTGCTTAGCTGACTTCTCCTAGCCAGGATGCCATGCGAGGCAGCGGAGCGCTCAGAGCCAGAGTGCTCGTCCCACTGTGCTGTGCCAGCACAGAGAAGAGACGCTGATTCTGCCTGGGAAGCAGGGAAGGCTTCTGGAGGAGGGGCCTGGAGAGCTGGAGGATGGGCACATAAGGGGATGGGCCCTGCTAGGGGAGGGTGTGCAGCAGGAGAGTGCAAGCTGGTCCCGGGCAGCCAAGCAGCTTCCTGTGACTGGGGGAGGCCAAGCTCAAGGGCACAGCATGGAGGCCACTAGTGAGGAGAGGGCTTATGGCCTCAGGGCACTGGGGAGCCAGGAATGGCTTTTAGGCAAAGTTAGATTTGTGATTTACAAACATCACCATGGCAACAGTACAGGGGCTAATAGTGCAGCACCTGTATAAAGCACAGCATGCCAGGGACATTTGGGGTTAATGCATTCATTTCATCCTTAGCATGGCCTGCGTGGTAGTTGCTAATATTATCTCCATTTCACAGACGTGAAAACTGAAACCCTGGGGTTAATTAACCTGCCCAAGGTTGCA